AGACTGGAGTAATGATGCTGAAAATACAGCTGCGCATCACAGAAATACATTACAGTTTAACACATATTCACATAGAAAACACTTATTTTAAATTATAATAATATTTCACATTTTTTACTGTATTTTTGATCAAATAATTGCAGGAGCAGAAGAGGCTTCTTTCAAAAACATCAAAAAATAAATAAAAATCTTACCAACCCCCAAACTTTTGAATGGTAGTGTACAATTATATAAAGGTATACATAAAATATATTTTTAAATAATATAATATAATATAATATAAAAAATGATATTTATTATAATATTTTAATTTTAATATATTTACAATATTAACATTGCCAAATATTTCTTTAAACGCTATATTTCAATATATCGATAAATGTTACAAAATATAACAAATAATTACAGTTAAAGTCAGTATATGCCAACACACTTATATTAATGCATCTTTAGTGACAGGAAGAAGTGCAGTAAATACTCAAAAGTGGTGCTCACCAGGTTCCCCACAGACAGCATGCGGTTGAACTCGTCTGTCATGGGATAGTGCTCCAGAGCCATGAAGAGCGTGTTGAGAACGATGCAGATAGTGATGGTCAGATCCAGGAACGGATCATTCACCATGAACTTCACCCACTCCTTCACCTTCAGCCAGCTGGGGCCACACGTCCACACCAGGTACTTGTGTGCAAACACGTACCAGCATGGGTGACACTTCTGCTGCGCCTCCTCCAGCTCTGTCAGCGCAAAAACAACCAGGGGAGAAGAAATGACCCATGCATTCTTCATTAGGTTCGTTTTCTTCACAAGAACCACATTTGGTCGTATAGGGTTCTTGAACTGACCATATCTGTTCCTTGATGCGTCATTATAAGACCTTCAGATCACTCTGCTGAGTTATATTGTTGTTTATTGGTTCTTCAAAGCACCAGTCTAACTTGAAAGTTCAGCAATTTTACTAACTTCAATCATTTTGTACACAGTCTGTAAACCCCACCCTCCAAAGACATGTCAGCCAATCCGAAGCCAGCAAGCCTGAAAGGGCATAATGATTGACAGCCGTCTAGTGTTTCTGATTGGTTCTCCATGTAGTTTGTTCCTGTTTGAAGACTGCAATGCAGTCACAGAACTCATTTCACAGATATCTGCCAGTTAAGAGGGATTTTATGCATAATATTAAAGCACCACAGTGTAAATTTATTGTAATGTAAGGATGGACTGTTTACCTGTCTGGATGAATAAATTAAATCAAAACATTTACATAAACCATTAGAGGCCTCATGATAGAGTGTCTGACTGCACATAAAACGTGCTTTTGCCAGTGCTATACAAATGCTTCCATGCATGTGCATTCAATAATAACTACTTTAGATAAAAGCGTAATTTACAGCTGAGCATTGAAATTCTTTGCTTGTAGCAAACACCACATGAATAGGTCACGATGAAAGGTTAGCATGTTGTTTTTCTACCCAACTGAGGTTGAATTGCACTTGACAAGCGAGGATGCGTGTTTAGGAGGAACCTGTAAGCGCTCTAATGAGAAATGAGACAGAGACGGACATCTTGTGGCTCTAGATTTGGCTCTGCGGCAGTAATGTGCTACTAACTCCTGCGATGAGCTGCTGTGGTGGTGTGATGGACCACAACGGGTGCAGTCGACCTGTCAGCCTTTATTTCATCCTCCACAAGAGAAACTGACCAACAAACAGACCTTCAGTTAACACCACGTTCACCTTAACACAGCAGGAACTAAACTGCAGATGACGTGTAACGTTGTTTCTGAGTGTTAATGATGAACTATGAGAATTATTATTTTTTTAGTTAAACTATAAAATAAAAAATGTAATAATTATTTGAATTGTTATTTAAAAAATAAAAATATATTAATTTGATTGATTGATTGCTTGCATGCTTTACTTGGAAAAAGAACTTCAGTCGCTATAATGTTGCACACTTGCAGTCTATATAGTTGATTATATTTTACTGTAAATGTATTGTATGGCATTTTTCACAATATGTATCATTGCACGCAAACAGCAAACAAACAAACAAGGTTTTTGTGGTTGCTAGGCTGTGTGGGTGGTTGCTATGGCATTACTAGTGTTCTAAATTATTTTTAGCACATTTCTATGCGGTTGCTAGGGTGTCTGGGTTGTTTTTAGGGGGTTTCTAGGGTGTCTGCGTTGTTTCTCTGGTGTTGCTAGGGTATCTGTGTTGTTTCTAGAGGATTGCTAGGGTGTCTGCATAGATGTCTAGGGGGTTGCTAGGGTGTCTGCATTATTTCTAGGGGATTGCTGTGTATCTGGATTGTTTCTAGGGGGTTGCTAGGGTGTTTGTATTGTTTCTAGGGGGTTGCTAGGCTGTCTGGACTGTTTATAGGGAGTTGCTAGGGCATCTATGTTGTTTCTAGAAGATTGTTATGGTGTCTGTATTGTTTCTAGGGGGTTGTTGGGGTATCTGCCTTGTTTCTAGAGGATTGTTATGGTGTCTGCATTGTTTTTAGGGGGTTGCTAGAGTGTCTGTATTATTTCTAGGGGGTTTCTGGGGTGTCTGGATTGTATCTAGGGGGTTGCTAGGGTGTCTGCGTCGTTTCCAGTGGATTGTTATGGTGTCTGGATTGTTTCTAGGGGGTTGCTAGGGTGTCTGCGTCGTTTCCAGTGGATTGTTATGGTGTCTGGATTGTTTCTAGGGGGTTGCTAGGGTGTCTGCGTCGTTTCCAGTGGATTGTTATGGTGTCTGGATTGTTTCTAGGGGGTTGCTAGGGTGTCTGCGTCGTTTCCAGTGGATTGTTATGGTGTCTGGATTGTTTCTAGGGGGTTGCTAGGGTGTCTGCGTCGTTTCCAGTGGATTGTTATGGTGTCTGGATTGTTTCTAGGGGGTTGCTAGGGTGTCTGCGTCGTTTCCAGTGGATTGTTATGGTGTCTGGATTGTTTCTAGGGGGTTGCTAGGGTGTCTGCGTCGTTTCCAGTGGATTGTTATGGTGTCTGGATTGTTTCTAGGGGGTTGCTAGGGTGTCTGCGTCGTTTCCAGTGGATTGTTATGGTGTCTGGATTGTTTCTAGGGGGTTGCTAGGGTGTCTGCGTCGTTTCCAGTGGATTGTTATGGTGTCTGGATTGTTTCTAGGGGGTTGCTAGGGTGTCTGCGTCGTTTCCAGTGGATTGTTATGGTGTCTGGATTGTTTCTAGGGGGTTGCTAGGGTGTCTGCGTTGTTTCTAGTGGGTTTCTAGGGTATGCTGGGTAGTTGTGAGGACACTGTGTTGCTTTGCGGTTGCTAAGGTGTTCTGGATGCTCTCAAGAGTTGTTTTGTGGTTGCTAGGGCATTCTGGGGTTGGGTATTTGCTTGGGTATTTGGGCATTTTCTAGATCTTTGCTAGGTTAGTTGTTATTTGCAAATACAAAGACTTCACACTGTTTGCTCACTTACATTATTTAGGTTAAAACTGTACACTAGTATTTATTCAGTACTTTATTCAGCTATAAAATCATAGATTTGATTTGTTTATTTGTGTAAAATAATGTACTCCTGTCATAGCGATTGGGAATTTCCCTGCCGGAATGATTAAAACTGTGCACAGTACAAAATTCAGGCCCTGGATAATAAAACCACAGTGGAAACTATGATTACCATGGTAATTCTTTTTGTAAAGAGTACGTCTGAGAATTTTTGCAATGCGGCTGTTCCAGTGTCAGCATATTTATATACAAGTAAATCAGTAAGTGGTAGCTGGCAATCTATCATACATGTATGTGAGCATCATCTGACATAACGTGCTCATTACAGTAAATTTGGCCTGCTGCTGTCCTGCCGTGTCAGCTTTCACATGCGTGAAAATGAGGATTGGCATTTTCTTATGCTAGCAGATCTAAACTCAGACCCTGTGAGCTCAGGCCTTCTTCTGTTAGCAACTTTTGTGCTGACCAATCAAGATTCCAGAAAAGACTCAAAAATATGGGCCATTTTTATTCACAGGTGACATTTCATGTCCTCTAGTGAGGAGAGCACACTAACTGTATGACAGAAAACTGTCTTCGACTGACTTCTGATGAAGAATCCTGATGTTTGTACTCATAAAAAGATGCCAATGATCTCATGTTTCTCCATGTTACTTCGCTATAAGTACTATAACTATATTAGCAAAGATAATTACATTAGTGTCCACGCCAGTGGGCAATAACATTTTGCAACGTCTGTTGCTTTAAATGCTTACACTCTTTCAGGTAGATTCTAATTGGCTGTCAACATTTGTATTATTCATTAGCTGGAAAAATCGTTCTAAAAGTGGTTGAACGTACAGTATCAGTGTACTGGATCCGTGCATTGTCTTAAAGTTTTTAATGTTAATCAAACAACAAAAGACAAGGAAATCACTCACTGCTCTTGACTGAATAGCTTTTGTAACTTTAATAAGGATTAATCTTTCATTTATACAGTCAAATATGTAATGTTATTTTACATTAGATTACTTTATTTAATTTCTGTACCTAAAAACTAATGTAAAAAAAACCCCTGAAAAGCACTATTTATTTTCTTTATCTTTGCTCTACTGTATTTATTTGTGCTGTTTCTTGTAGTTAGATTAGTTGTTATTTTCTGTATTTTTATTTGACAGTATAGTCCTTTCTTCCCTAAAATAGCACATACTGAACCATACCGAAACGGTGACTCTAAAACGGTGATACAAACTGTGAGTAATTTGAACCGTTACACAATCGGCAGATGATAACATTCTGTTTATTATAAGCGCACACTGCCGTTTTGTCTTCTGTCACTTTAAATACTCAATTTCGGTAAACTCAATTGAGTTTACGCTTTGTCGCGATGGGCATAACAGATTTGAAACTGCGAGGACATTCTGTTACGCTATTATTTAGTCGCTAAAACGCTCAGGGAAGAGTCTGGCTTCTTGTGCCACCCAGGTGATGTCACAGCCTGGCTGTGTCATGATGAAGCAGCAGTGGGGAGGGTTACACCTTTCCTCTGAATAACAAGAGCGAGAGAAGTCTCGGGGGACGATATTAACCACGAGCAGATGGAGACACTTCTCCTGTCCTCGCCTTCCCTAAAATAGCACATACTGAACCATACCGAAACGGTGACTCTAAAACGGTGATACAAACTGTGAGTAATTTGAACCGTTACACAATCGGCAGATGATAACATTCTGTTTATTATAAGCGCACACTGCCGTTTTGTCTTCTGTCACTTTAAATACTCAATTTCGGTAAACTCAGGTGGATTCTGATTGGCTGGAAAAATCGATCTGAAAGTGATTCCAACGATATCGTTCCTCTGCGTTGTTATCGTCATAGTTGAGTGAACTTTACTATTCTCGTAGCATTAGAGTGATTATTAAAACGTTATAGTTGTCGTGCTTGGTGTGAACGGGCCTTTAACGATAACTGTAAAGATAATTAGCATTCACTTTGGCTTACGACAACATTCTGTTTAGTATAAGTGTGCACTGCTGTTTTGTTGTTAAATTTAGGTGGATTCTAATTGGCTGGAAAAAAAAAGTTCTGAAAGTGATTCCAACTATATCGATCCACTGTGTTGTTACCATACGAATGGGTCTTATACGATAACTATAAAGATAATTAACATCCACATCAGTGTGCCATATTTTTCTGTTTATTATGATCGTGCATTTCTGTTTTGTCATCTGACACATTAAATACTCAAGCTTGTTAAAGTTGGATGGATTCTGATTGGCTGTCATTGTTTTTATCATTCATCAGTTGGAAAAAAATCACTCTGAAAGTGATTCCAACGATATCGTTCCTTTTCGTTGTTATTGTTTTAAATGATTTTTAAAGCTTCATAGTTACCTATAGTTATCGTCCATGGTCTGAATGAGCCGCAAACAGTGAAAATGAATTCATCACTTGATTTATTTATACACAAACGTCTACAGGCGGTCTACTCTTTTGTTTCCTAAAACGCTTTGTCGCGATGGGCATAACAGATTTGAAACTGCGAGGACATTCTGTTACGCTATTATTTAGTCGCTAAAACGCTCAGGGAAGAGTCTGGCTTCTTGTGCCACCCAGGTGATGTCACAGCCTGGCTGTGTCATGATGAAGCAGCAGTGGGGAGGGTTACACCTTTCCTCTGAATAACAAGAGCGAGAGAAGTCTCGGGGGATGATATTAACCGCGAGCAGATGGAGACACTTCTCCTGTCCTCGCACGCATCTGAAAAGATTTCATGTGGATTTTACATGCATATGGAGTTGTTTCAGGGTTAATATCTCGTCGCTGGCTCGTGTGTGATTGTGGTTTCTAGATTTTTGTTGTGTTGTGTTTCTGTCAGGCGCCGTGTCTTACCTTCCATGGCGTCAGTGATGTAGCTGGTGGCGCTCAGGGCCCGATCTCGGCCCTCCTGGGGCAGCTGGGGCAGCAGCATACTGCTCAGCTCATTGCTGGAGTTGTGTCCCTGAAAAACCAACAACAGCAGTCACCGAAATGGCTTCATAAGGAAATAAACAAGAGCAGGTTTATAGCACTAACTGTTCTCTCTTTTACTTCAATTCACTGTATGGTGTTTTTCATATAATATGTATCATACCAAAGCTTTAGAATGCAAAAAAAATTATTATGGTTGCTAGGGAGACCGAGTGGTTGCTAGGGTGTTGCTATGTAGTTGCTAAGTGTTCTAAATTATTTTAAACACTTTACTTTGCCTGCATCCCCATGTCCATACTATCCATCCTAAATAGTATGTGAGATTAGAATAAGTGTGTCCCAAAGCATAGTATGCTGAAAAGAGTATGCCAGAAGTCCCCGGATGGTCTACTGTTTCAGGAAGATTTTTGAAGTGTGGATCCGTGCACACTCTAATGGCTAATATTACCCACAATCCATTGCGCTTTGGCGAAGGATTCGTTTCAGAACTACAAACACGAAAACCTACAAACATGGTGGATGTGCACGACCGACGGTTAAATAGAGAGGTTTAGATAAATGGGTTTGAGTTACTAATCATCAACATTTAGGCTAACCTGTTAAAAAAAAAAATGTATTTAATCTTATCTGTGTTATATTTCATCTGCAACAACAATGTGAACTTTTATAAACAACCATTTGGCCATTAAATTTTAAATGCATCATTATGCAAAAATTCTGAGCAGAGATCTCCGCATAAAGACCCACAGCTGGCAGATCAACGAGCTACTTCTTTTCTCTCCGATACGGTAGGAAGTTAAATTAAATTAAATGTGGAGGATCTTAACTGTGACGAGATGATTGACAGGTCAGTTTACAGTGACAGGGTGCGTGTAACTATGCGACAGAGCAAAGATGCAGTTGTATGACGTGATAGTTTGTCCCAAAGCTTGCCTACTCTTCTACTACACACTCAAAAGTGTAGCTTTTCTTCACCAAAAGAGTGCATACTTTAAGGGCGTAGTATAAGTAGGCACATTGGGGCACAGCATATGTGTTTGCTAGGGTGTTTAGGTGGTTTCTAAGGTGTTTCTATGTTGTTGTTACAACATTGTTGGTGATTGCAGGGGCATTTCTAGTGTAGCTGTGCAGTTGCTACCTGTTCTGAATGATTTTTTAACACATTGCTATACACTACGGTGTTTGGTGGTTGCTAGGGTGTTGCCTTTGTGGTTTCTGTAGGGTTGTGTGAGTGACACATTGCCATGTGGTTGCTAGGGTCTCTGGATGGTTCCTACGGTATTGCTATGTGGTAGCTACAATGTTGTGGGTGATTACAAGGCCATTGCTGTGCAGTTGTTAAATGTTCTGAATGATTTTAAGCACATTGTTATGCAGTTGCTAGGGTGTTTAGATGGTTTCTAAGGTGTTGCTATGTGGTTGCTATAGCATTGTTGGTGATTGCAAGGTCATTTGTAGTGCTGCTGTGCAGTTGCTACCTGTCCTGAATTATTTTTAAGCACATTGCTATGTGTTAGGGTGTTCATTGTTGGTGATTGCAAAGTCATTTGTAGTGCTGCTGTGCAGTTGCTACCTGTCCTGAATTATTTTTAAGCACATTGCTATGTGTTAGGGTGTTTGGGTGGTTGCTAAGGTGTTGCTATGTGGTTGCTAGGGTATTTGGGTGATTGCTAGGGTGTTGCTATGTGGTTGCTATAGCATTGTTGGTGACTACAAGGTCATTTGTAGTGCTGCTGTGCAGTTGCTACCTGTCCTGAATGATTTTTAAGCACATTGCTATGTGTTAGGGTGTTTGGGTGGTTGTTACGGTGTTGCTATGTGGTTGCTAGGGTATTTGGGTGATTGCAAGGTCATCTGTAGTGCTGTTGTGCAGTTGCTACCTGTCCTGAATGATTTTTAAGCACATTGCTATGTGTTAGGGTGTTTGGGTGGTTGCTAAGGTCTTGCTATGTGGTTGCTAGGGTATTTGGGTGATTGCTAGGGTGTTGCTGTGTGGTTTCTACAGGGCTGTGTAAGTGATTGCAAGGTCATTTGTAGTGCTGTTGTGCAGTTGCTACCTGTCCTGAATGATTTTTAAGCACATTGCTATGTGTAAGGGTGTTTGGGTGGTTGCTAGGGTCTTGCTATGTGGTTGCTAGGGTGCTGCTATGTGATATCCACAGTGTTCTCTGTGATTGTAAAGGCATTGCTGTGCAGTTCCTAAGTGTTCTGAATGACTTTAAGCACATTTATGTGGCTGCTAGGGTGACTGGGTGATTGCCAGGGCATTACTATGTGGTTGCTAGAGTGACCTGGGTGGTTGCTAGGGTGTTACTATGCAGTAGTTACAGTGTAGCGGACATTTGCAAGGGCATTGCAAGTGTTGCTGTGCAGTTGTTAAGTGCTCTGAACGATGTTGAACACATTGCTATGTGGTTGCTAGGGTGACTGGCTGGTTGCTAGGTGGTTGCCAGGGCGTTGCTATGTGGTTGTTAAGGAGTTCTGAATAGCTCCACCCTCAATTCTCTCTGATGTCTCTAGATAAGTCTCAGCAAACACAATACTTTATATGGTATTATTGACTGTGCAAACACACACACACACACCTTAGTCTACAACACTCCTAATGGCATTTAAAAATCAATTCTGTTTATTGCAAAACAAAAGCCTAATAAAAGCAGCGATTAACCCTCAGCAGCAGATGTCTTCAGTGATAATGGGTGTTTTGGGAAATGCGTTAATTTTTGTCAAACGCTTTTATCCATTTGTTTTCTAAAGCTGTTTTAATTTTTTTTAATCTGAGGTCTTCGAGTCGATACGATATCTGTCTGTAACAATGGCCCATCTGATTATATAATGTGTTTTTGATCGCAGGTAATCAAAAGAATGACGCAGGAGCACTTCATCACGGCCCACCAGAACGCCCACTCCTGCTGTTCAGGCGAGTGGGAAACACCGCCGTGTGTGTGTGTGTGTGTGAGAGTGTGTGAGACGCCACCTCTGCAACTCTTATTCAACATCTGTTGCTATGTTACCATGACTACATCGCCAAGACAACAGGGTATCCGTGCCTCCTTCACGCAGTCCAGACAGTTTTCAGACTCCTTTCCTTTCTGAGTAATTCAGATATTTCTGGCAGGATGTCATACTTCCCGTTTCAAAAGCCCATATGAAAGAAAATCACTTTAAATATATCAAAAATATCTCTCTAGACAGCACTGAGATTAAATGAAGTGCAAACTTAGACTTTGCTGCATCTCAGATGAGAAAAAGACCTCAGAAATCTCACATGTGTCTCTTATTAAGACTCAGATTTGCCTACAATAAAGTAAAAAATCAAAAGATCTCAGTATTTAATAATAATAATAATAATAATAGCATTCATGATCTTTACGTGTTCCTTTACATGTATCGTACAGTATGCATCTATGGAAATCACTTATGCAGTCACTTGTGTAACTGATGCGTGAAGTAATTGCTAATTAAGCATGCAGTGCATTTCTCTTCAATGCGTGGCAGTTTAAGGCATCTGAAGAGGTTCATATGGCATTTCGATCAGTGCTGTTGAGTACACTGATAACCCAATAAAAGAAAAGAACTCGTCCAAATCAGCTCAGAGAAGACAAGAGCATAATGCATGTTATCAGTGTGACTGGCAGCTATAGAAGGACTGACTACTATATGAACATACTGTAACACAGAGCGCAGCAGTCTGTTCAGAGACAGGAGCTCTTATGTTTCGTTCTTGAAGAAGATGAGGAGGTTTCTGTGAGACGTTCAGCTACTGTAGATTCATCACACAACACTTAACCTTGAGTTGATGTCTGTTTTAAACTAACAATGTTCATAGGTGAATCTGACAAAAATGGTCAAATTTGACCAAATTCTCACTACTGTAAAAATGCTTTACATGTTTAAAAAACATGGCAAATGTCACAATACCAAAAATATGCATGCTTCTAACAAAAGGCTTCAGTTTCATTATGTATTTTTTTTTCTTTAAATTTTGGGGTGAAATATGTAGATTTTTTATGACCAGCTGAATAATTTAATGTTTTATCATCTGATAACCATTTTTTTAATTATTATATTCTACACTACAATTTAAAAAAAATATTAAATTGATCAAAAGTAACAGTAAAGAAATGTATAAAGTTACAAAATATTTCTGTTTCAAATAAATGCAAATTTTTCCACAAATATATATGAGACCAACCCCAAACTTTTGAATTCTAGTGAATATTTAAATATAGAATTCATCATTTATTTATACATTTTGGCACATAATCACTAGACCAATTTAATAATAATAATAATAATAATTAAGAATTAAAGTTATTATTATTAATGAATTATAATTAATTATTATTATTATTTTCCTACACTCTTACCAGCACTCACACACATCATCATCACATCTCTCCTCACAGGCATCGTCCCCACTGCATTCAAGCAGGCTCGGGTAACCCCACTGCTCAAAAAAACCTACATTAAACACTTCACTTATACATCAGTTCTTATTCTGCTGGATCGATCTGCTGCTTTTGACTGTCAGTCATCAGATCCTCCTGTCCACCGTCTTATCACTAGGCATTACAGGGATTCCACTTCGCTGGTTTGAATCCTATCTCACTGGTAGGTCTTTCAGGGTGGCTTGGGGAGGGGAGGGATCCAAAGCACATCAACTTGTCACTGGGGTTCCTCAGGGATCAGTTCTTGGACCCCTCCTCTTCTCCATATACACAACATCACTGGGTCGCATCATTGCCTCTTTAAGAAGAATCGCTTTATGTATTCCCCAATTGTAAGTCGCTTTGGATAAAAGCGTCTGCAAAATGACTAAATGTAATGTCTAAATGTATTATTAGTAGTAGTAGTACTCTAACAATCGTATTTTGTCAAATTAATTTTGACAAAGTGTTTACTGTTAATTATCAATAAATGAACCATTTATTGGTATATCTGGTTGGTTGATTTATTGATTGATTGATTTATTAAGTATCAGTCAAACTTGTTCGTTTCTTCATGAGACTGATCCTGATTTCTCCACAGGAGACGATTCCAGCCGTGGTTCTTCGTCTATAGATCCGAGCGACTCGTACCTGATTCACAGGTGCTTTATTACAAATCAGTCATGCTGTTTCTAATTTACAGGACTTCACCTCTGCAGCTCTGCTCGTTTGATAAGAAGCACAAAGGCACTTACGCTCTCCTCCTTGACCTTCTCCATGGTGCAGGTCGGCAGCGGCAGAGGAGACAGCGGTCCCTGGCCCGAGATGCCGTTCTGGTCTATGGCCACGAAGAGTTTCCCGTTGATGTTGAGACTCGGGAAGAAGAACTGCGAGCTGTGGCTGCAGGTGCTCTGAGCGCTGGTCCTTCTCTTGCTCCAGGGCAGAGCCAGCGCCCCGCCGCGACTGTCCGAATCGCCGTGATTGCTGAACTCATCGTCGGCGAAATCCACCTCCGAGTCTTTGTTTGGCAGCCGGAAGTTGAAGATGCTGACCTGACTCTCCCGTCTGGCCCGTAAGGAGAGAGTGCGGACCAGCAAAGAGTGCGTTTGCTAGAAAAACGGAGATGAATTGACTTAACTGGAGACAATTCCACGGAATAAAACAACATGAGGGTGAGTTTTGGGTGATAAATCTACCTTCATTCCCTCTATAGTGTCCATCTTGGCTGATTTGTCGTTGCTGCCATCCTCCGTTCCTTCTGACAGCAGCCTCGAGCTTTTCCTCCGGTCCAGATTCCCTTTGCCTTGTGAGGAGAACGGCGACACGTCGGCCGTCAAGATGGACTCGGTTTCTTGTGCTTTCTGAGCCGCCTGACAGACAGAAAGCTGTCATTATAATCCCAATGTAGCATGACTTCTTGTACATTATTGATTAAATCAAGGATTCCACATTTTTTCCATCAGCCAAACCCCTTAGACATAAAAACTTTACTTGAATCTTTTTAAGAAATTAATATTTCAATAATTTAACAACACATTAGTTAGTCACATGACATGCAAGATAAAATATTTGATCTGTTTAAGTATTTTATTTTGTTTTTATTGTTTTTAGTTTCATATAGGACTACACAACTTTTTAAATTGTATTTCAATTATTTTGTCATATATTGAACAGATTTGAACTGCGATATTATAAATATTTAATTTTGTAGCTGGACTTTAAAATTCACTCAAACCTCTTTTTTTGTTGTGATAGTGTCTTATTATTATTATTATTATTGTTGTTGTTTTTATTATTATTCTTCCATTTTGATGTCATCACTGAACCCTTTGACAATAGTGAGATTGTTTTTATTATTATTCTTATTATTATTGTTGTTGTTGTTGTTGTTGTTGGTTTTATTAATAATAATAATAATAATAATATTTATCAGTATTAGTTTTAACTCTAATTATAAAAATTAAGACAGAAATAAATTACTGTTGTAAATCACAATTGTACTGTAAAATAAAAAATTATATTAATGTGATAATGTGATTATATTTTATGCTCCAAGTTATAATACTAAGTATTGTTGTTGTTGTTTGTTGTTGTTAATTTTAACAACAACAACAACAATAATAATAATAATAATAATAGTTATTATTATTATTAACAACAACAATATTATTATTAATAATATTCATATCTTATTAGTATTATTAATATAACAGTAGTAGTAGTAGCCTTAGTTTTAGTTTTAACTCTATTTATAAAACATTAAGACAGAAATACATTACTGTTGTCAATTACATTTGTACTGTACAATTAAAAAAATCAGTATGAATGTGATAATATTATAACACATTTCTTATTTTACAAGTTCTACAAGTTATAATACTAATATTTATATCTTAAATTCTTCACTTTCAAAATTTCAAACCCTTGAGCTTTTAACGTTCCAAAATGTATTTATTTTTTATTTTTTTGCCGGAATATTAGTGAAATCCTGTAAACTTCTGTCCTCAAAAAATTATGCAAGTGTGTAAATAAACTGAATCTAGAGCACATTGCGTGTCCAAATGAACTCGCAGCTCATGCAGAGAGTTTGTAGCATTTACTGTGAACTGAGAAGCACAGAGAGATGCTAAAAACACTGTATTATAAGCAGTGTTGGGAAGTAACTAGTTACATGTAATGGAATTACGTAATTGAATTACAAAATAAAAGTAACTGTAATCAGTTACAGTTACTGAGAAAAAATCTGTAATTAAATTACAGTTACTTATGAAAATTTTAAGGATTACAAAAGGGGGTTACATCTGATTTTTTTCACACACACTCCCACATACAGATTTAATTGATTTCTTTCATAAATTGCAGCGAGTGCTCTAAAATATGAAACACCAATGTTTCAGGAGTTTATAACATGCTTATTTGATAACTCTTTTATTTCCTATATGGGTTTATGTAAATGCTTTATTTTTTAAGATTAACTTTTTTTTCAAAGGCATTGTTAGATTCCAGTGTTTCCTGTCATAGTTATGCAAAGATTTGATTTCAAAAACAGTATCATAGCTATTAAAACTATTTCTTGTTATGATTTTAAATCTGTATTTAACCTCAGAACGATCTTAAAGTAAGTCTGATTTTGTGGTGACTGTGCTTCAAAGGGGACATCGGATGCCCCTTTTCCATAAGTAGGTATCCTCCTGACTACCAGCTATGGAGTTTTGTCCACTGTAGAGGACATTATGTTTTAGCGATTTCTCTGAGACGTTACATGTCACAGTTTTAAATCTGGATGTCCTGTACAGAGCACATTCAGGGCTTTCCAGAGATACCAAATGATTGGATGTTTCTCCATCACCACTCCCTTTCTTTGGTCTATTAGGACTCTTATATTCAACTACATCTAACAACAAAACACCTGCATTGCTTTCAAGACATTGTTGTCGCTACAGCTGCTCGAGTGTGGAGAAAATGACGGACTTCGTACAACTGGCTGAGGGTGGAAATATGCTAATATGGGACAGTACGTCAGTGGCCGTGGGAGGGGCCTGAACAATATGACATCATATTGGCTTGATAACTCTTTAGGTTTTTGAGTGAATGGATTTTTATCATTGTAGAGTGGTTGTGTCTACGCAATACTAAGACACATTTATATGCAAATTAAGATATTTTGCATGCAATGTCTCCTTTAAAATTGAAATATTATAATCTTAATTCAAGTGATGAAGGATTTTGAAAGTCTGACAGTAATCAGTACTACTGTAAGGTTAACCCTGCCTGGTTTACATGCTTGAAAATGATTAACAATTGAAAACATTAGAAATTTAGAAAAGTAATCAAAAAGTAATCAAATGTAATCAGTTACATTACTTTAATAAAGTAATTGAAAAGTTACACTACTTATTACATTTTAAGTAGGGTAACTTGTAATCTGTAACCTATTACATTTTCAAAGTAACCTTCCCAACACTGATTATAAGATGCTCGTGTGTAAATGCACACAGTGCCGCGCTTCACTTTGAAAACAGACTAGATACTTAATTAAACTGCTGCATTTGATTTAAAAATCGCACTAAGCTATATCACAATGTCAGATTAATTGTGCAACCAAATGTATTTATTTTAATGTTACATTTGATTTAATAATGAATAAAAAAAAAAAAAGCTTTCCATAAACTCCCAAACCCCTGCAGTTCCCCCAGCTTCCTTAAAGGCACAATATGTCATTTTCGCCACTAGAGGGCGCGTATTCAAAACAAACAAAGAGACAAAGGTGTAGTGACTGAGTGTGGAATTATGGGAGTTGTGGTCTTCATCCCCACAGCCGATGCAATCCGACGGGACTCGGGCAGAAATCATGTTCATGGATGAGCTAATGATTTATTAACGTAGTAGAATGAAGCAGGGATTTCAGCAGTGACCCCGACGTACCTGCTGTTCCTTCTTCAGCTGCTCCATGGCGAGCTGAAACTCTTGTTCTTTCAGCAGGGCTTCTGCGATGGTGGCCTGGTTCTGCTCCTCGTATGCCATGGCCACCACAGCCAGGATCAGGTTCACCAGGTAAAAGGAGCCCAGGAAGATCACCAGCACAAAAAACACCATGTACGCTTTTCCCGCCGAGCGCAGCGTCTGTCAGCACAACAACAGCGTCAGATCACAATGGCTGCAAGAACTCGCAGATTACGTTGAAGAAAAACGCATGTGCAATATCTGTTCACAAGCTTGTAATTAGTGTCAGACAGATGCATCGGTCAGACTAATCAATCAAAGGTTATTCTAAAGTAATCTACAGTCAACTCTCAAAAACAGCCTAATCAATGGATGAAAACAGATGAATAAAGGCTTAATTTATACATACACTACCATCCAAAAGTTTTGCATCATTTTTGACATTTTGATGCCAAGATATAGACATAAATTACATTGAATTCTTTCTAATATGTGCTCAAGAAACATTTCTGATTATTATCAATGTTGAAAACAGTTGTGCTGCACAATATTTACAATATTTTTTTGATACATTTAATTTTTTAGGCTTCACAGATGAATAGAAAGTTCAAAAGAACAGCATTTATTTGAAATAGAAATCTTACTGACCCCAAAC